TAACTAATATAAAATAATAAATAAAAATACATATGAAAATAAAATAAGATAACTAATATAAAAATATTGCGTCACAACCATTTCTTCCTTTAGCTTTGAGCTCTTGCGAAATGGTTTTCTAAACTATTCATCCTTCTACATTTTTGAAGGAATAACTCAAATTCTCCTTTTGACAAACTATATAACCAACGAGGGGTCACCTTCGTGGTCATTTGGATAGGAAATTCGTTAGTTATTTCTAATACTTTATTTGCTCTCCTTGCAATTTCCCTAAGTTAGTGAACATTCCGTTAGGTATGCCTTTTTATAACTTCGATAACCTTTTTCTTAGTGCTTCTCTGGATCATAATATTCATTTTCGTTTCCAATAAGGAGTATGCCAATAATCTTTTACCATTGGGATTATTAGTGTTATCAATGTACTGCAATAGTTTCCTAAGGTCAGTCTCCACATATAATCCAAAGTCAAAATCTTGTTCTGAGTTATACAAGTCTAATTGATATGGGGTGAAGTTAATTCGTTTTACAGTTTCTATAGGAACTTCAATTGCCTGCTCGGCGGTAGTAATTTTAAACATTTCGGGTTTCAATTGGATATTAATCTCTTCTATGTTTTCAGAAATTCTCAGTATAAATCCTTTAACTTTTATTGTAAGTTTTGCAAAAATGCCATTGTTTTTCTTTGAGAAATTTTAAAAAAATAGGTCTTGTATTTATAATTTTTCTAAATGATCATCAGTAATTAATTTGTACTGCTTTACATCCCTATTTGATAACAATGCTACATTGTTAATCTCTTTGTTTGTAGTGCTTAATTAAGGATGTGTTAATTGGTGAACTTAATTTATCAGGATCTGCTTTATCTCTGAGTATTACAGTCTTATCACCAATTTTCTTGTGGATATAATAGGGTCCTGTCCATCGTAAGGTAAACTTATCACCGTGGACATTTTGTTTAGCAGCGTCATACAGTATTACTAAATCTCCTTCTTTAAAGGTGGAAGCTTTCTCAATCCTTTTGGAACGTTCCTCTTGTACTTGTTGAGCTGTTCCAATGTTATCCTTGGCAAGTATTAATGCATCAGTAAATGTTCCTACTATTTGAACAATGCGTCTATTTAAAGCTTCTTCATAAGGAACTTCTACTAATTCTTCTCTTGGTAATTCTAGGTGCAAGGGTAATTGAGCTTCTTTCCTATGCAATAAATAAAAGGGACTAAACTTTGTAGTAGAGTGTTTCAGGGTATGGTAAGCAAATAGGACTGAGGGAATTAAATCATCCCAATCTTCAGTAGCGGAGTTTACACATTTTCCAAGTGAATGACATAATGTTTTATTGAATCTTTCAGTTAGGCCATTTGTTTGCGGATGATATGGTACAGCGAGTTTATGTTTGAAGCCAACTTCTTCTTTTAATAATCCCACCACCCTCCCGAGGAATGCCTTTTCACGATCAGATATTATACTGGAGGGGACTCCATGTCGACATATTATTTCTTCATAAAGAAAATTGGTTACTTCTTTTGCAGTTGCATTAGTCACTAGTTTCGCTTCAGGCCACTTGGTTAAATAATCTGTTACTACTATTATGTATTTATTTCCTTTACTAGATACTTTTAATGGTCTTACAAAGTCTATTCCTATTTGGTCAAAAGGTCTTGTTACTTTAATAGGAATTATTGTTTGGTCCTTATTTGATTTTCCGGTTCGTTGACATACGTCACATGATTCGATATAATATTTTACATCCTCTGCTAAGTTTGGTCAATAATATTTTTCTTTGATATTTTCTATAGTTTTTTTAATTCCAAAATGTTCTCCTAATGAGGACGAATGATAATTATATAATAATTTATCCTTATCCTGCAAGGATATTACTCTAAGAGGAATATTTAAATTATGCCTATTTTTCCTAAATAATATGCCATTTCTTTCTAAATAATTATTTGCGGTTTTTGCTAAGTGTCGTTGTTATTCATTAGTGTAGTTAAGTGGATATTCATGTTTTTCTAAGTAGTTAACCAAATTGTGATACGTTGTTGTATCCATAAATTTTATTCTAATTTAATTTATTAATATAAAAGGGTCAATAAACTATCTACAGGGTTTGTTTCTAACCTCGATAACGCATCAGCGTTGGTATGACTACTTCCTTTCCTGCGAATTATAGTATAGGGTTCATACTCTGAGAGGTGAATAATCCAGCGAGCAGTGGAAATAATATAATTATGTTATTTCCACTTAATATAGGTTATTTCCACTCAGATGTGTAGTGTGATTCATTTTTTAGGCCACACTCGAAAGTGGCATGATTTATTTTTTAAGTCACACTCGAACTATCATATATCAGATTGGTGGTCTAGTTGATTTTTGACATCAGATCGTATATGGTATATTGTATATTAATTTAGTGATTCCGATTGATTTAAAATATAAGGTGCTCCCCGAATTAGGTTATGAAGTTGCGCGTGCGACTACTCTGTATAATGTTTTAAAGCTTCTAGATTTTTAAATTCGTTATCAAAAATTGTATAATATATGGCGACTATATTTGATTTCAAATGTAAGGAGCTCCCCGAGGTAGGTTATGCTGGGAAAGAGTTAGCTGTAGGTTATTCCCAGTCAGATATGTGGTCTGATGACAAAAGTTAGCCATCGTCGTCGCACCTGTATATCAATTTGGTGATTCTGACCGATTTCTATTGCAATAAAATATCTGAGATAGGTTATGCTACTCGAGTTGGCAGTAAGCATGTGGTCTGATAACAAAAGTTAGCCCAAGTATACTATCAGGTATGTTGCCAAATCGATTTCGCCCATGCTCAAAGACATGAAAAATAATGTTATCAGATACATGTTGTCAAGTATATCATGAAAATGCTATCGGGTTATTATCAAGGAATACTATCGACTATGCTATCTAATATGCTATCATGTAAATGCTATATCAAAATGTATCAAATTTTTTGTCACAAGTTGTCACTAGTTGCAAGATGTATGTTACTTACCTTGGCCCATTAAAGTATGCTGAATTTTTGATATCCCAGATTGTGATTAAAATGGATCTGCTCGCGTCCTAATAAAAAATCCATCCTGGTTTCATCCTAGTAAAAATATGTTATCAGTATATGCTATCTGGCAATGCTATATATATATGTTATCAGGTATGCTATCCGTCACTGAAAAATCTTTGGTGACAACTTCAGAGACAACTTTGGAGACGAACTTATTATTAAATTTCAGCTTTAAATTCTTTTTTATCTTGTTCTTCTATACTGTCACCGAAAACTTTAAAAATAAAGTAAAATTCTAGGAAAAAAATAAAACTTTTCCTATGGTATACTTTTGATATACACCCAATATATACTATATATATATTACATATACCTACCTTTGATATATATCCGATATATACTATATATATTGTGGTAACGGCGAAGGATCAGTAAGGTGGTACGAAGATAGGAGTGTGGAAAATGTGTGGCGTGAGAATAATGAAGTACAAATGATGGAAATGATGGG